TGCTGGATTCCCACATGGCTGACCACAGTTCAAGTCCCAGACTTGGAGGCTTGCTTTCTCATTTTTTCATTCATTCTCTCTCTCTCTCTCTCTCTCTCTCTCACCGCTCTCTCTCCTCTCTCCTCTCTCCTCTCTCTCTCCCTCTCTGGTCAAATTGAAATAAATAAATAAATAAATAAAGTTAAATAAAATAATCTTAAAAAAAAAAAAAACGATTTAACTCCTATTTCATTGTTTCTCCAAAAAGTACTGAAATGGGCCTCTTTAAACAGATAGTACTCCCATATAATTGGTACCTTACACCTTTATCTTAACAGGATAAGAGAATGATGGATTTCAAATATTAAAACTCAGAAACACACACCTAAAGTCCTTCAAAGTTGTGTTTTTTGGTAGAAGAACCTCAAAGAAATGTATATCTTACCTCTCTTTGCCATATTTGTAGTTCAGGTCTCATTTCCTCCTTCTTGACTAATGCAGAAGCATCCTAATTGGGATGGCTACCCTGGCAGAAGTTACAAAAAGTAATGACAGGAGATGAGATGTGACTGAATCCAAACTAGAATAATAAGCTAAGACTTGTTGGAAATGGTAAGATGATGTTTGGCATTTAAGAGGCAGGCATCCTCCGTGGTGGGGTTAGTGCCTGAGGTTAGCACATGAAGCAATTAGCTGGGAATGCCAAGATTTGACCTCTCTTTTTTTAAATAGCTTCTTAAAATAGAGGCAATAATGGATTTGAACAGAGGGGAGGGAACTTGTTCCTGAGATTGGGACTGGCTACATGCCTTGAGAGTGCCCCATCCTTTCCTGCTCACCACCACTGTGTCTCATCTTTCTTGTTTCCCTAGTTCCAGCTCTGTCTACAGTCCTCAGTTTTAAGAACAATCCTTGGTCTTTTCCATTAGCTCATGCAACTCCAGTACAGCCGTCTGTCTTCAGACACCAGAGTTTGGGAAGGAAAGACTAAGAAAAGAGCAGCTGCCTTTATCCTCACAAACCTCTGTCCTCCTCCCAAAAGCACATACAAACAGAAACTAATGCCCTTGATAAGAGTTCTCAGGGACTTGCAGAAGGCTCTGGCCTCTTCTCTGGAGATTAATGCAATGGGACTCTCATGACCCAGAGCTCAAACCCCAAGGGTTTCCTGCAGCCATGCTTCCTCCCCATTTAATAGCAGTAAGTCATGTTTGCTAGGGGTCCTGCCTTACTAGCCGGAGGCTGTGAGTCCCTCAGATGAATCTGCTTTTGCCTTGGTCTTTGCTCAGCTGCTTTTTACCATTATCCTTGCAGTGTTCCTAAGGACAGCCTCATTAAAACATATACACTGCAACCAACTCCTGTCTGAAAGTGACTAGGAAAGTCAGGGTTTCAGCCTAACAGGCCAAGGTCTTCCATTAGGTATTTTATTTTGCATTCATGTTGCTAATTGGTCTGAGTTATCTGTTTATATTCAGCTTGTGACCTTGGTTATCACTTTTCTGACTCTTGATCTGTTTTTTTGTTTGTTTGTTTTGTTCTGTTTTGTTTTGTTTTGTTTTTTTAATCTGTAAGATACAGTATTCATAGTTTTTCCCTAACTCACAGAATGGATGGGAAGATCTAGGTATATAATGAGGAGTTCACTATAAATAGGATTACTTCTTATGCCAGTCACCTGTAAAAACAAAGGGCAAGGACCAGCAGCTTGCATAATGGCTATGTCTCTGGACTCCTATGTAGTTGACCGCAGTTCAAGTACCGAACCCAGTGGCTTAAACTCACTCCGAGTGTGTGTGCACGCATGCGTGCCCAAGATCCTGAGAGGAGAATGGAGGAGAAGGGATTGTGGTGTGGCCATCCCCCCTGGGGGATGATTTCTCACTTTCTGTCTCTCTGTCTCTCTCGGTCTTTCTGGAGAGCACACGCACCCTATAGAAAAAAAATCTCTCAAAAAAAAAAAAAAGGCAATCTTTCTACCTAAATCTGAATTTACTGTCTGCTATTTTTGCAAAGACGTGAGAAAGAAGGTACTTTTTAACCAGAGGTCCACATGTATTCTTGCATGCTCTAACTACCCAGATTAGTTCTTTTATTTAATAATTGTATTGTAATATTAAATTTACATATAATAGTTGTACATTGTATGTACAGCTAATATGTACAATTATGTGTACATTACATGTACAACTATGTACATTATATGTACAACTAAGAAAGCACCTTAACCACCATGCCACTTGCAACCCATTCCCCCATACTTTTATAAAGCAATCTCAGAGCTCTGTATCTCAATAATATCCACTCCCTAACCACAAAAGTTTTCCCTGGACCTAACTTTGTCTTCCCTAACTGTTGGTCCTCAAGAAGTGTGGATTCAGCCCTATTCCATGATAGGCACTGTCCCTACTGGATAATGTGCTATTTTTTCACTTTAATTTATTTTTAATTTTTTTGTTTATCATTTACCAACATGTTTGTAAAACATTGCAGTCTGTATTAGTAAAGGAGAAGCATGGAGGGAAGAGAGGGGTAGGAACTAAGTAGCCAGTGGGAGGGTAGATGGAGCAGGAAGTGTTTGTGGGTCAGAGGTGTTCAGCATGCTATTGAATAATTGGAAATAGCTTTTCCCTTAACACTTTGAATGTATTTTCCCATTCTTTCCTCGCTCTTGCATTGTTTCTGATGAGAGTTCTGCTGTTAGCCTGATGGAATATCCCTTGTAGGTAACTTGCCATTTTTCTCTTGCTAATCTTAGTATCTTGTCTTTGTGGTTTTGGTCAGTCTGGCTATAATGTGTCTTGGAGAAGATTTTCTTGGGTTGATTCTATTTGGGGTCCTTTGTATTTCTGGGGACTGGATCTTGGAGTACCTCTCTAGGTTTGAAAAGTTTTCTTGCAGGATTTCATGGAATAGATTATCAATGCCCTTATGAGTCTCTTCACCTTCTGGGATACCTATCTGGATGTTTGGATGTTCGATGGTATCTAGTATTTCTCATATATTATTCTCATTTTGGGGGGCAATTTTCTCAGTCTTTGTGGTGGATTTTTCTAGGCTAGCAATTTTCTCTTCTATGTCTGAGATTCTATTTTCTGTGTGATCTAGTCTGCTTTTAATACTTTCAAGAGAGATTTTGACTTCCTGTATTACAGCCTTCATCTCCAACAGGTCCATGTGATTCTTTGTTAGTGTAACCAGGCCAAGACTGCTATACCAAATTTTCTTATAGTAATTTTGTATCATTTGTATAGTGCAAAATGGTGTGTGTCTATAGGCAACTAGTTATTCCTTGTTCATTATTTGTGGGCCAAACATCAATAAGCTAATGCAAAATATAGTTTTCCTTTTCAAATTTGTGACTAATACTGGTTATATTGCTGTTATATGTATTACCCAGCTATTAGATTTTTAACTACCAGCCTTGTTTTGGAAACAAAACTATTCCTTCTTCATTGGAGACAAATATGACCTGAAGGTCAATGTCATTTCTCCTGTACATTCAACAGAAGAAACAGTAGATTTTTCTTGTCAGAAATAGCTTCTTTTAATTCATGCTACTTTTTCTTACGGTGGTGTTAGTGTCTAATGTTATTTTTAAACTTTCCACCCTCCCCAACTAGTCTCAGGAAAATCAATCAAGAGGTTTTGACCACAATTGAACTAAATGTAGAATGTTATTTATCTGGGATATTTATTTTTGTGAATTAGGGAAGTTATGGGAGCAGAAGTAGAAAATAAAGAAAGGAGGATGTTAGATTCTTGCTATCCCTTTCTCTCCCAGACATCTTCTAATGTACCACATCATATCTGATATAGGCCTGGAGATTTTCTTTCAAAACTAGATAATATAGATGGGTAAATAGAGACAGAGAAAATGATAGAGAAAGACATTAAGACAGATAGATATATATAAGTAATAAAAATAGTGCATAAGAAAATAAAGGAGTCAGAAGATAAGCATAAAACAATATGTTTATGGAAGACAGTCTATAAGGACTAGTCTGAGAAGCCAAATTGTATTGCATTACTAAATTAACAGTAAAGAAATGATCAGGTATGTAAGTTTTCATGTAAGTTGTAGAAGAAAAGAGCAAGAGAAAGAAATATTTTTTTAAATTTCCACCTCCAATCTGCTTTGTTTTACTCAAGTTTTTTCATTGTGTTGGAATGCAGAATTCAGAGAACTCAACCTCTCATAATAAGTATTCCCTTCTTTATCCCAGGACATGAACTTAAGATGGACATCCCTTTATTAATAGTCTGTGTATCAACCTCTAGCACAGACTTGGCTGAATTAATAAACAAGGGATAATTCATATTCTTATTGAAAACATGAAAGATATATCTATGAGTAAAGTAAAAGTTACATGAAGTGTAAACAAAACTCAGAGGACATAGCTTATTCAAGGTGTTTAATGAGAAGGATTGGTCATGAGAATAGGAAGTTTTTAATAAGAGTATACAAACTGGCTGCATGTTTTAAATGATGTCCTAGCAAGCAGAACTGTGTCATTTGGAACCTGCAGATGTGGAATGTTGCAAACTCCCCGCACTGGAACGTGTTTACTCAGAAACTGGACCCTGCCTGTCAGACTGACTAAGGAAGGATTCCTACATCAGACATATTGCTGGTTCTCATTCCCTTAGTAGATAGTTCACCAAATCCCAATGATCCATGACAGAAATACAGATTCTCAGTTTTCTCTTAGGTAAATGAGCTTGGAAACATCTTTGTGTCTTTAAGTGAAGTTACTGAGAGGTCTGTGGGTCAAGACCTCGTCAAGTTACTGATAGGAATAAAGACTGAGGAGTCAGCAAAGTCAGTAGTTTGAGTCCAGAGACTACCTGAAAACGAACCGTTAAGTCCTCCACAACTGGTAGCTCTATGAGTTAATTTATTCTTTTCATTATGCCAGTAAACCACTAAACATAGAAACTGACCACTCCACTTCCTATAATACCTTTCCCCAATCTCCAGTATATAATTCATTCAACTATTTCTTCACCTCACTCTCCTTTTACACCTTCTTTCTCACAAATAGTCCCAAAACTCTCTCACGAATCTGCTTGGTCTTCACACCATAGATGATAGGATTGACCATGGGTGGAAAGAGCAGATAGAAATTAGCAAGGAGAATGTGGACATGAGGGGCAGCACGACGAGCTACACGGTGCATGACTGAGGAGATGACCACAGGTGTGTAGAAGGCTAAGATAGCACCTATGTGAGACACACATGTCCCAAATGCTTTGTAGCGGGCTTCCTGAGAGGCAAGCTGTAGAACAGCCCGAAGAATGAAAATATAAGACAGAATAACAAAGAGAAGATCCAATACCACAATAAACATGGCCACAGCAATGCCATAGATGTTATTGAAGCGTGTGTCCCCACACGCCAACCTTACCACCGCCATGTGTTCACAGTAGCAGTGAGCAATCACTGGACCTCGACAGTAGTGGAAGCGTCTAAGCAGAAAGGGAAGCGGAGTCATTAGTGTCACTGCCCGGGCCACAGCAGCCATGCCAATCTTGGTGATAAGGGACCCTGTCAAGACTGTGGTGTAGTGCAGTGGCTTGCAGATGGCCACATATCGGTCAAAGGCCATGGCCAGCAGCATTGCTGACTCCATGATGGAGAAGGAGTGGAGAAAGAACATCTGGACCAGACAGGCATAGAAGTTTATCTCTCGGTCTCTGATCCAGAAAATGCCAAGCATTTTGGGCACTGTTGAAGAAGAAAGGACCAGGTCAATGACTGCTAACATAGCCAGAAAGAGATACATGGGTTCATGGAGGGCTGCATCAGCATGGATAATAAAAAGGAGGGTGCAGTTGCCTAACAGCGCCAGGATATAGGCAGAGCAGAAGGGGATGGAGATCCAGACATGTAGGTGCTCTAGTCCTGGTATCCCCATCAACAGGAAGACTGCTGGGTGTGCTGAGGTGATATTGTAGACAGACATGGCTACTAGGTTTTCTCTTCTTCCTTATCTATTTCCACAGAGAACCTCCAGAAAGAATCTAGTTTCAGCAAAATTATAGCATTCAAGTTCAAATTCAGATCATTTATGTAGAAAGATTAGTCTTTCTTCTCATTTTTAGACCTTAAAAGAAATTAGAAAATAATGCTATTATGCATCATAAAACTTGGTCCTTGCCCTTAAGATGCTTATAAAATCCTTTAGTTGATTAGCACATTAAATACTAATAGAGCTAGTGTCACAAAGCAACCTTATTGAGAAATCAAATAGAGGAAGAGCTTTCTGTGGTCTCCAGTGGCCAAAGTCAGTCTTTTATGAAGATTGTATGTAAATTTCTTCTTACATCAAATTTACTCAATAACATTTATGGTCTTTCATTTTATTCATAATGCTTCTGAACTCAAACTATACTCCTAATTACGAAAGGAGTCAAATTGGTCACATGACTTTTTATTTTTAATTTTCTATAGGGTGCATGCACTCACTACAGACAGAGAGAGAAAAGTGAGAAAGCACCCACCATGGGGAATGGTCAATTCCTTCTCCTACATTTCTCCTTTTGGGATTTGGAGAACATGCACACATGTTTTCAAGCCTCCAACTCTGGAACTCAAACAATGAGAGATCAGATATGTGAGATCCAGCTACCTTAACCACCATGCCACCATCTGGTCCTATTAAAAAAATTAAATATAGTACTTTCTAATAATTTACTTCCCTAAAAGTTCTATCTGTCCTATATAGCAACAGTTCCATAGGTCATTCTTCTACACTCACAAATCTCTGCAGCTAAAGCCCTCCCTCCAGCTAACTTGAAAACATGGCAAATCAGTTTGCTGCCCTACTTCACCTAACTTAGCTTCCTAATTTCACTTCCATCTCTTCACCTGATCTCCTTCCTAGCCTTCATGACATTCAGAAGACATTCTTCACCCCCACCTTTTTGCAAGAATGACCCCTGACGTTCACACTTTTCTTTTCCTTTCTTTATTTTTTTTCTTTTGTGAGATTTTTGTTATATGGCACATGCACTCACCAGAGAGACAGAGAGACAGAAGTGAGAAATCATCCCTCCGGGAGGAATGACCATGCCACAGTCCCTTCTCCTCCATTCTCCTCTAGGGATTTTGGGCACACACACCTGGCATGAGTTTAAACTGCCTGGTACTCAAACCACACTTGATTATGCGAGAGTCCAGTAACATAATCATTATGCCATCTGCTGGTTCCCACACTATTCTTTTTCTATCTGGGCTAATTATCTTTCTACCTGATTTTTACCTTTAATCATCTTTTCCTTTGAAAATGCTTAAACATTTGTTTCCCCAAATTTTGACCTGTGCACTCTTCTTTTTTAATACCAGTTTCTGAATAAAACACTTCTTTTAAAGACATTTATTTTACTTTATGCATTTAATAAACATTTTAAATTCTATTTTCAAATTTTTATTTAATGTTTTAGATAATCACTTTTTTTTAGAGAGTTGTTTTTTGTTTGTTTGGGGTTTTTTTTGGTTTTTTTGTTTGTTTGCTATAGGGCATGTGCACTCACCAGAAAGACAGAGAGAGACAGAGAGACAGAGAGACAGAAAGCGAGAAATCACCCCTCCCCCGCAGGGGGGATGGCCATGCCACATTCCCTCCTCCTCCTTTCTCCTCTCAGAATCTTGGGCACACATACACACGCACCCAGCGTGAGTTTAGGCCACCGGGTCTGGGACTCGAAGTGCAGTCAACAACATGGGAGTCCAGCTACATAGCCATTACGGTAACTGCTGGGCCCTAATATTTTAGATAGTCTCTTAAAACACTTGGATTAAATCTAAAACATAGTGAGTTCTCAGAAAATGTAGACACTTTTTTGAATGGAGAAAAAATGAAAGTTTAAGTTATTTACTGAAAGTTTAAGTTATTTACTGATCATCACATGGTTGGATAATGTCAAAGGTTAAACTTGACCCTTAAGAACTCTGGTTTTCTGTCTTTAATTGTGGTGTCTTAACTCATTAGATGCTTCTTCCTTCACCTTGCTACTTCAAAAGCAATTCAAATCCAGAATATTCAATTTGCTGGGATATGACCCACATAGAAATAGAGCTCAAACTTATTATTACGGTACAGAGAAAAAGTTTAGAATGTAAAGACCTGGGCTTAGGTACTAATTGTGCCACCATTATATCAACCAAAGTAGCACTAATCACTGATATTTCTAAGATTTTAGCTTTCTTGCCTGTAAATGAAGTCAATGCCATTTCTTCCATGACAACCTTACTAAGTTTTATCATGAGAAGATAAAATAATATATGAGAACAGCCCTGGTTAACTGCAAAGCATTATAAATATGCTATTTGTCATTATGTACAATCTTCTCCCTCTCACATAAATGTATCCCCTTTAATAAATGTATCTTAAATGCCAACAGGTGGCACAGTGGCTAAGGCATTGAGCTCCCACATCACCAACCATGGTTCGAGTCCTGGACCTGACAGCTTGAAAATTATTCTGGCCATGTGTGCATGCATACCCAAAATCCCAAGAAGAGAATGAAGGAGAAGGGATTACAGGGTGACCATCCTTCTGTCTTTGGCGAGCACTCTGACTCTATGACAAAACCTTAAAAAAAAATTTTAAGTTTGTCTTCATTAACATCAGCACAATCCTGTATTCCTTGGTCTTGTAACTGGCTAAATCTAACAACCCTAAACTTCGTTCCCCTTCATGCCAAAACTTGTTTAAAATATTGGCTGATTCATTCTCTACTTCATCTCTCATTTCATTTTCAGCCCCTTCCAATGTAGTTTCTACCTCCACTGCTCCCCTGATACTGATCCCGTCATTGTTTCTTTTTTCCCTTCTTCTCACCTGCATTTCACTCCTCTTTTATCCTCTTTATTCTCACACTTCTGTAGGTGATTTTTTTATACCTCTTGACATTTTTACCGGCTATGTTCAAAAAATTCTCTAATGTAGAACTTCTACTCTGAACTGCAGACTAGTAGATCCTGCTGCCTATTGGACATCTACTAGATGTCTCACAGGCATCTCAAACAAAATATGGCCAAATCGGAGGCTTGGTTTCTCTTCCAAAAAAATCTCTCCTCTCCATGCCTTGCCCAGATCCATACATGTGATTACTGTGTGTCCTGCAGGTAGGTCAGAAATCCAGCAGTAATCCTTGATTCCAGCCCTTACCTCTCCCTTCATATGCAACTCATTAGCAAATGTGATCAACCTACACAATATATTTCAGACCTTGCTCTTTTCCATTTTCTCTGCCAGCACTCAATTAAATAGCCATCATCTTCTTTCTGAAAGACAAAAGCCTCCTATCTTGTCTCTGTGATGTGAATCTTGGACCCTCTATAATAAGCCATTCTCTTTACTGCAGTCAATGATACCACCTTAAGAGGCAAGTTATATTATGCTAGGTCTTGGCTAAAACCTTTATGGATTACCATTGTACTTAGGATGAAATCTACATCCCAACCCTTGCATGGTCTCGTCACTCCCTTTCAGCTTCATCTTCTTTCACTTTTCCTTCACAATACTGTAGTCATAGTCTTCTGAGAGATGCTCAAGTCCATGGAGCCCTATCCCAGTTGATGATGACTCCTGATCCTGCCCTGAATTGTCTTTCTTCTTGTCTCATCTTCAGTTCATCCTAATTCACATCTCCTTATCTTTTGTCCATGTCACTATAAATACTTGCATAGTTTTTAATCCCTGCTCAACCTGTCCACTACCATGTGAAAGAACACACATTTTATTTCCCTGCTAAAAAACCAGTAATGGGATTCCATTGCTACAAGGAAAATAGAAACCATTAAACATGTTTAAAAATTTGTTCTTGCCTAAACTGTTCAGTACATTTCTTCTATTCCCCCTAAGCATTCACCATAATGTACACACTAGGTTATCTGCCATTTCCTGAAAGAGTCATGCTTGTGTCCCACTAACCTGTTGATGATAACATGTATAATAGTCTCAACTGGACTGGTCTGAGAAATATTTCATGTTGGGTAAATTGTCTTTACAATCCAAATGATATATAGTGATCCCATGTTTAAAAAAATAAAGAGAATAAATAATAATAATCATCTGAAAAAATTGATGAAAAGCTATTTGATAGTGATGATGTGGATAGCAATGTCTTTGTCTTGACTGATATGCATGGTAACTGTGCTGGAAAAAGAAATGTAATACACTGCAAAGAAATATGTGATTTAATGTAATATAAAAAGTTATAATAATAATAAATAAAATTTTCAAAAAAAGAGTCATGCTTGTGACTTATACCATTGTTAACTGGAATGCTCCCTCTGCGCCACCCCCTCCTTTAATATTTAGCCAAGGTCTTACCACTTTCTTGGTGCAGTCTCTTCAGGCAGCTCTAGGCAGACTTGCTCAGTCATTTCTGTGTAGAATCACTAATACATTAAATTGAATAAAGATAATACTTACAGTCTATGCTGCCTTTGCATGTTTGTCCATGGACCAGCTGTGATTACTTTGAGTACAAAGGCTGCGACTTATGCATTTCTGTATTCACAAACTGGACTGGTCTGAGAAATATTTCATGTTGGGTAAATTGTCTTTACAATCCAAATGATATATAGTGATCCCATGTTTAAAAAAATAAAGAGAATAAATAATAATAATCATCTGAAAAAATTGATGAAAAGCTATTTGATAGTGATGATGTGGATAGCAATGTCTTTGTCTTGACTGATATGCATGGTAACTGTGCTGGAAAAAGAAATGTAATACACTGCAAAGAAATATGTGATTTAATGTAATATAAAAAGTTATAATAATAATAAATAAAATTTTCAAAAAAAGAGTCATGCTTGTGACTTATACCATTGTTAACTGGAATGCTCCCTCTGCGCCACCCCCTCCTTTAATATTTAGCCAAGGTCTTACCACTTTCTTGGTGCAGTCTCTTCAGGCAGCTCTAGGCAGACTTGCTCAGTCATTTCTGT